TGCCACCAGTGGATTTCCCCTATCCACACTGTAAAAGACTTTAATCAGACACTTGCTGCCAACAGTATTTGTTTATTAAAAGATATTAGGTTGAATCTGAATCACAGATGTTCTTTAATCATTGTATAGAATCAAAATCATTGAACCCTCGTATATGTTGTTACACACTCAATCACCATTTGCTTTATTTATTCACTTTAACCAGCTTATATTTATTAATATCAGTTCTCTCTATTTCTCTGACTCTCTATCTCTCTATTCAACCTCTGTCCTTCACACTTTGCACTCTACTTCTCTAACTCTCTAACTGACTAACTGACTGAATGATCCCACCCTTCCAGTCCTCTCCTAGGTTCATGTAAATGAGCTCCAGCTATGAGTGACAGGAGTGATGTGGGCATTCGTCACAGTAAGTTTAAGAGAAGGAAAGAAAGGTTAAGTAGATTGAAAAGAAGCATCCTCCATCTCTATAGGACATTGTTGAGAAGAGGTAACATATGAGATCATTAATCTAATATATGATGGAAAATGCAGATTAGGAAACTGATTTTTGTTCTCAGTTTTGCAAACTTGAAAGAAATTATTTAGTAGAAGCCTTATATGGCCTTTGTACTTCTGAGCAATTTAGATAATTATTCATCTCAGCCTATTATACATACTCAAGGGTACTTGAGAGTCCCATTTTTAAAAAATTCTGTAAAATGACATCTTTCTGAACATCTAGTATTATAATGGTTTAAACATTCTAATTCATTCCTTTGTGCTGTGTATTCAGTCTATGCCACAATTTTTACAATAATTAAAAAATAATACATTCACAGAGGAAGTACATTTCCAATACACTCTGTAAACTGCTATGAGAAAGTAGTTTATTCTTGTGTCATACTGGAAATGAGGCAAATACTGTATCACTCAGTTTCATTGTGGCATTAAACTAGTTTGATAGGATCTCTTCTGAATTTGGTATTTTGTCTCTTCTCTTTCTTCTGAAACCATTGAAAATAAGTAGGAGACAGATTTATGTTTCCAAATAAATTAAAGGAGGCTTTTTCACAAAGTAACCCTGAGAAGAGTATTTGAAGTAGATCGCTAATTTAAAGGAGCATAATGAAAGCTTTGAAACATATTTTTCTTGCTCAGGTACTTGAGCCTAGATAATATGTTCCCTTTACTGTATATGATCATTGGATCTGATGTTTTATAAGGAGCAGATTAAAGTACTAGATTATTAACTGTTGCTCATATGTGTGTTTATGGGATGATCTACTCCCAACCCAAAGGGTGGTGGTCACCTGATATTAGGTGTTGTCAGCCGAAAGCTTGTTCCCTATCTCAGCCGCTTTCCTTGCTACTTAGACAAGCAAGACTTCAAAAGAGATTTGGCAAGTGGATAGAGAGAGACATCACTTCTGATATTGTACGCATTACTTCTGCCTGAGCACTGCCTCTGGTCAAACAGGCTTCTGAATCAACAGACTCTTTTTCCATTTCTAATTTTTTATTCTTTTCAATCAGGGTAGGATTATGGGGAAGGGAATTTAGGGTTAG